ACTTAATCATATAAACAAATTAAAATCCTAATTCACAAACAATACAATATAATAAAAATTCCACTATACTAAACTATTAATAATAACAATAACAATAATAATATTCTAAAATTTATTCATAAAATAAATGGAACTTTTTAGTCCCATATTTATTCTGAATATAATCTTTCCATCTTCTCCAAACCAAAATATATCTTTCTTGTGAATGATCCTTCAAATAAGCAGAAATCTTAGCCATTTCTGCTAAATTTGACACTGTAAGCGTCCATTCTTCTATAGTTGGCAAACAATCCTTCTTCCAATATTGCCCTACCAACAGCCTTGCTGCTATTATTAAATTCAACATCAAATTAGTTTCCTTAACATCAAAATCTACAATAATATCCAACAAAAATAGTTGAGGAGTAAACTTTATCTTTCTTTTAAAAATATTTTGAATGTTCCACCAAATTTTAATCCAAAAAGCTTTTATATGTCTACAAGTCCACCAAATATGAAAGTAAGTTGCATCCAAACTACCACATCTCCAACATTTGGGCTGCAAGTTGGGATACATGCAAGACAACTTTTGGGGATCCAAATGCCACCTATAAAACATTTTATAAAAAAATTTTCTCAAATTTTGAGCTTGAGTAAATTTTACATTTCTAACCCAAATTGTCTCCCATGTGTCCAATAAAATCGGCTCTTGAATATTTTGTGCCCATTTTACCATACAGTCTTTAACTAATTCCGTTTCAGAATCCAATTCTATTAAGACATTATAAATTCTCTTTATATGGGCTCGAGTTTGATCTTTAATCTGTTTTACCAAATTTGCATCCTCTAAAGTAATACCAACCTTTTGATCTAAACTCCACCTAACTAACAATTGATTATATTGAAACAAGAGTGTACAATATTTTCTTGCTTCAACTCAGCTAAAGATTTTAATTGCCAATCCTTCCCTACCAAACTAAATAATTCCTTATAAGAAATCCTATCCAAATTCACTCCTCTAGATACCCCCTCTATCACGTGTCCGGGAATCCCCCAAATTGGAATTTTATAATTTAACCTATAATAATACTTCTTCCAGACACGTAATAAAGTGTTTCTTAAAATATGAGATTTAAAAACCTGATCTACTTTTTTATTATAAATTAAATATGCATGCCATCCGTATAATAAATAACATCCCTCAAGAAAAAGTATATCTTTATTTGTTAATTTAAGCCAATCACTAATCAGCGTTAAAGCCACCACATCATAATACAATTTTAAATTAGATGCCTTAAGTCCTCCTCTTTTCTGTGTATCTTGTATAATCTTAAACTTAACTCTTGGTTTTTTCCCTGCCCAAATAAACTTGTTAATACCCTTCTGCCATTCCTCCAAATTGGCATCTTTTTTCAAGATAGGTATCATTTGAAATAAAAAAAGAAACTTTGGAAGAACATTCATTTTAACTGCTGAAATTCTCTCCAACAAAGATAACTGTAATTTTTTTCCAATCATTTAAATCCTTTTTCACTTTTACCCATAATGTCTCATAATTATTTTTGTAAAGCTTAACATTAGAAGCTGTAATGTAAACTCCCAAATATTTAACCTTTTTCACTATTTCAAAACCTGTTAATTTAGCTAACATATCTTTTTCCTTCATAGACATATTTTTCGAAAGTATTTTAGTCTTATTATTATTTACCTTAAAACCAGAAACTTTCCCATACTGGGTTATGATTTCCACCAAATCCCTTACCGAATCTATCGGTTGAGATAATGTCACAACCAAATCATCGACAAAAACTCTCAACCTATAATCATTCTGTTTTATTTTTATTCCCTTTATTGTAGTTGATTCATGAATTTTAATTAATAAAATCTCCATTGTTAAAACAAATAACAATGGGGATAGTGGACATCCTTGTCTAGTACCCTTTTCAATTTTAAATGCATCTGTTAATCCTCCATTAATTATAATTTGTGCCGATTGCTGTTGATATATAGCCTTAAGAGCATACAAAAATTTATCCCCAAAATTCATTTTCTCTACAACTCTCAATAAAAATTGCCAATTTAATTGATCAAAAGCTTTCTCCGCATCCAAAAATATCAAGGCTGAAGGGATTTGATTATTCTTATCCAAATACTCAATTAGATTAACAATTTGTCTTACATTATATTTCATATACTTTCCAGTTATGAATCCAGATTGGTCACTATGGATCAATTGCTTCAAAACTTGCATTAACCTGTTTGCCAATATTTTTGAAAAAATCTTATAATCTGTATTCAAAAGAGATATAGGTCTATAATTCTTAGGCTGGGTCAAATCTTGATCCTCCTTTGAGATCAACAATATGAAAGCCCTTCTCCAAGATGGAGGTACCTCTGTTCCCAACAAAATACTATTAAAAAGTTCCTTCAATGGTTCTATCATTTCTTCAGATAACATTTTGTAATAAATTGCTGTTAGTCCATCTGTACCAGGAGCCTTACCAACTTTTAATTGTTTGATTGCCCAAATGATTTCCTCAGAAGTAATTAAACAATTCATCTCATCTCGTTGGTCATTAGAAAGTCTAGGAAAGTGTGCTACCTGTAAATACTTTTCTATATCTAAAACTTGTATACTTTCACTAACATATAACTTTGAATAAAAATCTAAAAACTCCTTTTAATCAGATTCTGTTGATATACCTCTTTACCTTTATAATCTATTTTCTCTATAATCCTTGACTTCTGTTTCTTTCGTAATTGGTAAGCCAACTACCTACCAGGTTTATTTGCATTACAAAACGTATTATGTTTCATGTACCGCAAATTAATTGCAATCTGGTCAGCCATTAACATATTAAATTGCTCCCTGAGCATAGTTATAGAAACCCTTAAACTATTATCCAATGGATTTAAAATAAGAGCCTTCTCTTTGAGTTTAATCTCTTCTTCCAACTCTATACGTTTTTGCATCTGTTTACGCCTATTCGCATTATTCATTTGAATCAAAACCCCTCTCATATACGCTTTGCTAGCATCCCAAACCATTGGCATCAAAGTACCCTTATATATATTCAAAAGAAAAAATTCCTTCAAATATTCTCTACATTTCTGTACATTCCCCTCATATCTAAATAAATTTTCATTCATTCTCCAAGTCCTTCTATTCACATCTTCATCAGATAACTCCAACCATACAGGATTATGGTCAGACAATATTCTAGGGAAAATCTTAACATTCTTAACCCTAGAAAAAACTTGGGAGGTTTTGAGGTCCAAATATTTTGCACATCCTTGTTTCAGGTTTCACACAGGATCAGCTGTAAATTTCCGCTGCCCAGTCATTTAACTCTAATCCAGGAACTGACTTACACAGGGGAAGAGTCCCAGATGTAATCTGGCAAGATTGGTCTCTATTAAAGACAGAAATAAAGCCATGTACAAATATGCAAAATTTATTATTCTAACACAGTGTTTCTCAGTCTTGGCAACTTGAACATAGATGGACTTCAACTCCCAGAATTCTCTAGCCAGCATAGCCTTCATCTACTTCGTCTATTCCTTGGCGAATAAAGAATTCTAATTCTAAATCTAATTATTCTGATTCTGATTCTACATTGGCTGCCCACCTTTAGAACCCTTCTTAGCCTCATGCGCAACCTCTGCGAGTTCGCAAATTCTGGAATATGTATCCCGAAGGAAAATAATATAAAATAATCTGAATTCTGCTGGATGAGCCAATGGCCAGCTCTGTCCATTATTCTGTTCACAAAGTGCAGAGACTTTGGGGTGTTTATAGCTACCTATAGCACTGTCAGCATATTTTCCTTATATATTTTTCAATAAATGTAAATGAAAGTGTGATGTAAGATTGCATAGGCAGCAATAAGGCTATTTTAAAAAAAGGGAAAGGCTGGTTTCTGTATTATAAATAAATGAGCATATCACGTAGCAAAACCTATGTAATGGAAGCCATGTATCTTATGTATAGGAAAGCATATATATATATATATATATATATATATATATATATATATATATATATATATAGGAAAGGTAAAATGCTCATTTATACAACCCTGTGCTTAGGTGTAGATGCAGAAACTCTGTTTTAACTGAATATGGAAGGAAGGAAGGATTGCACAGAAGGAAAATATTCATATTCATAACTATCATAATAAACCAACACATTCCATTATATTGGTAATGATTGGCTAAATCTTTAAATTAAAAAGCAATAAGAAGGCAACAGAGAAGGAGTCCATCATGGTTGCCATCCAAATAAATATATTTTCTTTGACCTCCACTGATCATTAGGTGTGTTTTATTGAATTCCCAGCTTGGATTCCCATGAAACCTGGGAAATGAAGGTGTCTGAATCTCTTTTTAAGAAGAGATGGAGAACCATTTGTCTGAAATGGAATTGGGTTTCCTGCTTGAGCAAGCTGTTGGCCTAGAACTGTGGTGGCGAACCTATGGCATGCGTGCCACCTGTGGGCACGCGCACCATCGCCCCAGTCCTAGGCCTTCATCTGGGTTTTATAAAACCTTTTTGATTTAGGCCTCCACCACTGTGTACAAAAAAAAAGGTTCAATCAATCAATCAATTTCAACTTCTCACAGGAAAAAAAAAGATCTCGCAAAGTTGGAGTTGATTGATTGAACTTTTTAGTCCCACCCAGCCTGCCATTACCAACGAAGCCATGCCCACTCAATGGGCCACGTCCACCCAATGGGCCACACCCACCTGGCACCCGATGATACATAAGAGGGTTTTGGGTTGCAGTTTGGACACTCGGTCTCTAAAAGGTTTGCCATCACTGGCCTAGAAGATCTCCAAGGTTCCTTCCAGCTCTGTTCTATTCTATTCTATTCTATTCTATTCTATTCTATTCTATTCTATTCTATTCTATTCTATTCCAAATTTCTATTCTGTTCTGTTCTGTTCTACTCTATTCTATCCATTCCACTCCACTATAGAAGAATCTCCAAGGTCCTTTCCAATTCTATTATTCCGATTCATATGAATTTATTGAACAACCACAACAATAATAAACAGCATCCTGATTTTGATGCAATGATACAAATGTTTGATTAGAGGTACTTATTTTTGTTTAGATAGCTATATTTCAGTCTTCAATCCAAGAGGTATTCCTTTCACAGAGGATCAGAAATCAGAAACCCCACACAAATAGGCTAAGGGATTAGATTTTTCCCTACATAAGACTAAAGATTTGGAAGTGGCCTGGTGTTTTCAGAATGCTTAAACGTGGAGGAGATTCTTGCTTCCGATGAGACGCCTTTCCTCCCGGCCCTGGAACGCAGGCAGTTTCTGAAATCCGTTTGAATATCTTTGAGAAGGAGGTTATAAAACAGGGGATCCAAGATGTTGTCCAACAGAGAAACGCACAACGTTGCGTGCTCATAGACAAAGATCTCTCTCAGAGAGTCACAGATGGCAGGGGAAGGCGTCATGACTTCCAACAGGTATCTATAGCATGAAATTATCTGGTAAGGAGTGAAGAGGAGGAAGAAGGTCATAATGAGGAGAGAGATGAACCCAGAGATCTGCGTTTTGACTCTCTTCTCCAGAGACGCCACCTGCCTGAGCTTGAAGAGGACGCTGATGTGGAAAAAAGCCATGAGAAAGAGTGGGATAATGAAAGAAAAACCCACAATGCTGACCCGAAACTTTGCATAAGGATAATTCAGGATGGAGCTGTCCACACAGGCCTTCCATGGTTCAAACGTACGCACCTGCAACTCAACCCCAATGGTGCAAAGAGTCAAGAGCACCAGCCAAACCAGGATGCTAATCTTCACAGCGCCTGGAATGGTCTGCGCCTGGTGAAACCGGAGTGGGTGCGCAAGGCCGAGATACCTCTCCATGGCGATGAGACACAGAAAACTGTTTTTGGCGTAGAAATTTGTACGGAAAGCCACACCAATGAAGAGACAGGCTGCTTTTCCCAAGCTCCAGAGGTGATTGTTGAGGCTATAGTACATCCAGAAAGGCAGGGTTAAGATCTGCAAGAGGTGAGCCACCACGAGGTTCATAATATAAACAGAAAGGACGACGGATTTCTTTAATTGGTAGATCAAAGCCCAAAAGGCCAAGATATTCAGAGGCAGGCCGAATACCAGTATTATGGAATACACGGGGATTTTAAAGGTCTTGGTGGCATTCAGAGGGATAAAAAGGCACTCGTTGTTGCTGCTATTATTCATGGTAGAAAACAGAGAGGTTTTCTACAAAGACTTGCTCGCATCACCTTCTCAACACCATCACAAAGGCTACCTGGATCAGTTGGATTTTGTTGAACTTCAGGCTTGTCTGCAGAACGCTTGGGATACCGTAGTTCTGCAGTCAACATGTCTGTTAACTTTGCCTCAGTTTGCTCTTCTGATCCAAACCGCCTTTTAATTATCACAAAGAAACCAGGAAAAAGAAAAAAATGAAAGTCAATTGAGATTTTCCTTGGTTTGTAGATAGTCAAATCAGCAGCCTTAGAGCTGAGTAGAAATATTGTGACACCTCTCTCTCTCTCTCTCTCTCTCTCTCTCTCTCCTCTCTTCACTCAATACCCATCCATCTCTCTCAGCCTTCTCTGTGTCTCTTTCTCATCTATCTATCTATCTATCTATCTATCTATCTATCTATCTATCTATCCATCTATCATTCATCCATCCATCTCTCAGCCTTCTCTCTCTCTCTCTTTCTCTCTCTTTCTTATCTATCTATCTATCTATCTATCTATCTATCTATCAATCCACCCATCCATCCATCTCTCCCAGCCTTCTCTCTCTCTTTCTCATCTATCATCTATGTATCTATGTATCTATGTATCTATCTATCTATCTATCTATCTATCTATCTATCTATCTATCTATTTATCTATCTATCTATCATCTATCAATCCACCCATCCACCCATCCATCAATCCATCTCCCAGCCTTCTCTCTCTCTTTCTCATCTATCTATCTATCTATCTATCTATCTATCTATCTATCTATCTATCTATCTATCTATTATCTATCTATCTTTCATCTCCACCCATCCACCCATCCTTCTCTCCCTCTCTTTCTTATCTATCTATCTATCTATCTATCTATCTATCTATCTATCTATCTATCTATCTATCTATCTATCTATCTCTATCATCTATCAATCCACCCATCCATCCATCTATCTATCTCCCAGCCTTCTCTTTCTCTCTCTTTCTCATCTATCTATCTATCTATCTATCTATCTATCTATCTATCTATCTATCTATCTATCTATCCTCTATTGATCCATCCATCCATCCATCCAGGTGTAATTCTGACATATTATGCAAATTTATGCTGCACAGTTGCCTAGAACAAGCCTTGTTAGAGCTATATATTATTGGTCTATTTTTTGATTTCAGTTTTTTTCTTCCCTTCTCCAAGGATTAAACAGGTTATTTTACGACCTCTTATTTGTCATTATTTACAGTCTTATGGCTAAAAAAAAATCCAAACCTGGGAGCCAACCAATATGCTTCTTTTTCTTGCTATTCTATTGAAAACGACAAATCTTTGTGTTAAGATCAGAATAAAGTGTATCTCAACTGGAAATTGAAAGCCAAGCAATAAGATTTTTGTTGTCCTTATAATAACTGGCTCATTTCAGCTTTTCTGCCTCTCTTTCCAAGCATGAAAGTTTTATTTCAGTTCCAAAGAATGCAGCTTCTAGGTATCACCCAGCCATCCTTGTGCTGATAACATTTAGGGGGAGAGATTTGGCTTTACAGCATCTCAGCAAGGTTCATTGATGCTGAGAGATGTAGTTAGGAAAGTAAATTAAGTTCCCTTTATTTACCTAATCCAGAATGTTTGGCAGTTTCACTTCAGATCTACAGTTCTTGTGGCAAATCGTCCAGCCTTAATGGATTTTTTTTTTTCTAATGCAGAAAAACTAAAGGACTTCACCCCATAATTTCAGGAGCTAAACATTAAATGCAAGGTTTGGCTAAAAGCTCTTTACATGACATGAAACCATATTTGAAATTCTTTGCCTCCAAAGCATGGGAACAAGGTTTTGTTGCCCGATCTGTGAACCAGGCAGTTCTGGTTTGCCCAATAACTGCGGCTGACATAAATTGTGGTTCAGAATCCGGTGTGATCAAAATCATTAAGCAATAGAAGATTTGGGGGAAAGGTCCCTCCTTGGGTAAGAAGGGGGTTCAGAAATGTGGAAAAAATAGATAAATGGATGAGAGAGAGAGAGAGAGAGATAAGGAGATAGGGAGGTAGATAGATAGATAGATAGATAGATAGATAGATAGATAGATAGATAGATAGATAGATAGATAGATAGATAGATAGACAGACAGATAAATAGATAGATAGATAGACAGACAGATAAATAGATAGATAGGGAGGGAGGGAGGGAGGGAGGGAGGGAGGGAGGGAGGGAGGGAGAGAGAGATATGTGTGTCAGAGAGAAAGAGAGGGAGATAGATAGACAGGTAGGTAGGTAGGTAGGTAGAGAGGGAGGGAGGGAGGGAAACAGAGAGAAACAGAGACAGAGAGATAAGGAGATAGGGAGATAGATAGATAGGGAGGGAGGGAGAGAGAGAGATGTGTGTCAGAGAGAGAGAGGGAGATAGATAGATAGATAGATAGATAGATAGATAGATAGATAGATAGATAGATAGATAGATAGATAGATAGATAGATAGATAGATAGACAGACAGACAGACAGACAGGTAGGTAGGTAGAGAGGGAGGGAGAGAAACAGAGACAGAGAGATAAGGAGATAGGGAGATAGATAGGGAGGGAGGGAGAGAGAGAGATGTGTGTCAGAGAGAGAGGGAGATAGAGATAGATAGATAGATAGATAGATAGATAGATAGATAGATAGATAGATAGATAGATAGATAGGTAGGTAGGTAGGTAGGTAGGTAGGTAGGTAGGTAGGTAGAGAGGGAGGGAGGGAAACAGAGACAGAGAGAAACAGACAGAGAGATAAGGAGATAGGGAGATAGATAGGGAGGGAGGGAGGGAGGGAGAGAGAAATGTATGTCAGAGAGAGAGAGAGGGAGATAGAGAAAGAGAGAGAGACAGACAGACAGACGACAGAGACAGACAGACAGATTTGCACTCTTGTAAACAAGGTGTCAAACTGCAAGCCTAACAAAGGCAGGGATTCCTTTCTACTGTTCTTTCTAAGGCTATAAAACAAAAAAATTTACCTTCTGAGAAACAGTCCCAGCAAATTATGACTCCTAGCTATTTTCCCCACAGGACACTTGGCAGTCTCCCTGTTGGCTTTGAAGCCGAGTCAGGTTTTATTCCACAGTTTGAGAGAGAAAGAGAAATGGGCTGCAGAGTCAATCTGAATTGCTTTTATTTTTTTTCTGTTACTTTTTTTTTTAAACCAAACATATATCAATAATTACAAATTAGGCACTCACCCAGCTTTTGCAGTTCCCCCCCAAAATAATTTTCCACCTGCTCACTCAGGTTGTCTTCATCTCTACTGAGTCACATCCTCCTTCTGTGGTTCTTCAGCCATACTGATTTGTGATGTGCACTTGCAGATAGCGTGCAGAGGACGACCAGTAATTCCAGACCTTGTAAATTAACCACAAAGCTTTATAGAAGTGGTCAGGTTTGCTTGTTTTCATAAAATGATGCATCTGTTTTCTGATCCTTGCAGGGAGAAGGCTGTTTTGCCTAGCGTGGCTTGTTGCAAATGGGTTTTGCATGGCGGTCGGTTCATTCCACCCATGAAACCACGTAGGGGTGAAATCCAACCAGATGCATTTTCCAATATACCAAAAGTCAATCCAATTATGATGCAGGAGATCTATGAGAACCTTCTACACACCTGACCACAACTTACAAGAGGCCAAAACAACAACCTAAGGAAGGCCTCCCAAGGAAAAACCAAATGCCCAGGTATAGTCTAGGTCAGGGGTGTCAAACTCAATTTCACTGAGGGCCGCATCAGCATTGCGGTTGCCCTGGGGGTGTGTGTGGCCAGAGTGGGTGCAGCCTACTGGGTGGGCGTGGATGGAGTGGGTGTTGGACTACTGGGTGGGTGTGGCCAGTTCTACATCATTCGCGTCAAAGGTGCTTATGGGGGCCTGGGCAGGAGTGGGACAGATCTGAGGGTCTCTCGCAGAAGGGGGTGGGACCGGGGCAAGAGCCAAGATGGCCACCACATTGGCTCCCAGCTGGCCTGGGCCAGGGGCCAAGGCAGCGGGGGCTGTTCCCTCACTGTTTCCAGGATGGCTTCGCGGTCTTGTGGAAAACGAAAGGACTCTTACGAATTCCAGAGGGTTTTAGCAGAGAGATTTATTGCGCAGGTTCAGAAGCTATAGCAACAGCAATTCTGAACCCCGAGGGTGGGTTCAGACTTCAGTTTTATACTTTCTTTTTCTCGGGAACAAAGGAACACACATTGAAATATACACTGTAATACATTAGGTTCGTTTCTCGCGGGTATACAATGGAGAGTTTGCAACATACATTGTATCCGAGTGCAATGCGCATTAGGTTAGTCACATACTACTTAGCACAGCACTATTCCAGTAATTATGCAGGCACATCATTATTCTAGTGATTGTTCACATTATTCCACATTAGCGGGCCACATGAAACCAGTTTGCGAGCTGCATCCGGCCCCCGGGCCTTGTGTTTGACATGTCTGGTCTAGGTGGTACCTGGCTCAATAGCAGTAATTGTGAAAGGGTCCTAGTGGACAATCACTTAAAATTGAGCCAGCAAATGTGCTGCAGCTGCCAAAAAAAGCCAACACAGTTCTAGGCTGAATTAACAAAGGGATAGAATCAAGATCACATGAAGTGTTAATTCCACTTTATAATAGCAACAAAGATGATTGGGGGACTGGGGGCTAAAACATATGAAGAAAGTTTACAGGAACTAGGCATGACTAGTCTAGTGAAGAAAAGGACCATGGAAAGACATGATAGCAGTGTTCCAATATTTGAGCGGCTGTGACAGAGAGGAGGGGATCAACCTATATTCCAAAGCACCTGAAGGCCAGACAAGGAATAACAGATGGAAGCTGATCAAGGAGCGATTCAACCTAGAAATAAGGAGAATTTTTCTGACAGTGAGAACAATCAACCAATGGAACAGCTTGCCAGTAGAGGTTGTGAGATCTTAATCATTGGAGGCTTTCAAAAAGAGACTGGACTGCCATATGCCAGAAAGGGTGTAGGGTCTCCTGCTTGGGTGGGTGATTGGACTAGATGACCTACAAGGGCTGCTGGAATTGGGTATGTCTAGTTTATTGAAAAGAAGGACTAGGGGGTGGCGTGATAGCAGTGTTCCAATATCTCAGGGGTTGCCACAAAGAAGAGGGAACCAAGCTATTCTCCAAAGCACCTGAAGGCAGAACAAGAAGCAATGGATGGATGGAAGCCTCCCTCTACATTTCTTTCTCTCTCTGCTATAGAGAGAGTAGACTCCACCCAGTTTCCCCATCCTGCTTCCATTTGCTCTTGGGCTGATCCAAATCTCCAAGCCAGGATTAAACTTTAAAACCTGGTGGGCAGAAGGGAGAGCTGGTTTGAAAGTACCAGACTCACCAGCAATGGAGGGCAGCGTCCAGGAGCTGGAGAGGAGGAGAAGGCATGTGCATATCAACCTCAAGTGGTCAATAGGCATGGATTGACACTACTCATTAGATGCCACCTGACCAAAAGGTTGTAGAAGAATTAAATTATATCCACAGCAAAAGCAAGGTTGAACTTCTGCCTAAGGAAGGACAACATAAGGCTGCCTCAGATATGGGCTGGGGATCAGAGGAAGGCCACATCATGACGACACAACAGAAAAAAGAGGTTGTGGGTTCAGGCTAGCATGAGGTACAAAGGAACAGAACAGAATAACAGAGTTGGAAGGGACCTTGGAGGTCATCTAGTCCAACTCCTTGCACAAGCAGGAAACCCTGTATCATTCCAGACAAGTGGCTGTCCAGTCTCTTCTTAAAAGCCTCCAGTGATGGAGCAACTTCTGAAGGCAAGCCATTCCACTGGTTAATTGTCCTCACTGTTGGGAAGTTTCTCCTTAATTCTAGGCTGCTTCCTCTCCTTGATTAGTTTCCATCCATTGTTTCTTGTCTTGGCTTCCGGTGCTTTGGAGAATAGATTGACCCCCTCTTCTTTGTGGCAGCCCCTTACATATTGGAACATCTCACCTCTTGTCCTTCTTTTCATTAAACTAGACATACCCAATTCCTGCATCCATTCTACGTGTGTTTTAGCTTCCAGTCTCCTAATCATTTTTGTTGCTCTTCTCTGCACTCTTTCTAGAGCAGTGGTTCTCAACCTTTTTAATGCCGCGACCCCCAACCAGTCATAAGTCAAGGACTACTCAACCGGCCGTAAGTCGAGGATTACTCAACTGGTGCAGCACAGTTTGCAGAATGGGACTTTTGGCGGGCTCAGCAGGGCAGAGACAGCCTGGACAATTCCTATTGGCTTTTGAAAGCCAATAGAATTAGACTCTATTCAAGAGAGTCTATTCTATAGGCTTTCAAAAGCCAATAGAATAAAAGGGAGTAGCACAGCTAAGGAAAAGGGGGGGGGAAAGGCGGACTGCGTTGTTTGGCGACCCCCGTGAAATGGTCGTTTGACCCCAAATGGGGTCCCAACCCACAGGTTGAGAACCACTGTTCTAGAGTCTCAACACCTTTTTTACATCGTGGCGACCAAAACTGGATGCCATATTCTAAGTGTGGTCTTACTAAGGCATTATATAGTGGTACTAATATGTCACGTATATTCCTTCAAAGGGAGGAAAGTTTGTTTAAGTCTCATAAGTAATATAAGATAGTGTTGAAAGAAAAATCTTCATCAGGGTCCAGTCCAAGCTGGGAATAAACAAAATGGAGACTGCTTTAGAAAGAAGGTTGCAGTTTATTGAAGAGGAGAGCCAGAAAGCAATGTGGCTCTGGGAAAGCTGAACTCGTGTAGTAGGGAGTGGTAGGTTTTTATACCTTCTTGGGCTTTTGTTTGGAGTTGTTCCTGTGGCATGAACGTTGACCTGAGTCTGAGTGTGTCTTTCTGGTATTCTGATGGTGGTGGGTTAATCCTATTATGTCCCAAAGGTCATATCCTGCTTCCCTGGGGCTGTGGCTGATGGCTATGTCCTGTGTTCGATTTTAGGTGTGAGGGATTGTTGATTCTAGGGATCTTTGTCTTTCTAGTCGAAGTTTCCTGGCTCAAATCTTTCTGACAAGATTATCCCATCTGCAGACCTGGTTTCTGTTTGGGGCAGAGAGACTTAGGGGGTAGGGGAGCTGCCTTTAAGATCCTTCGGGGAAATATAATATTCTGCCTTTTAATATTCTCAAAAATATTTGTTTCTCCGGGGGGGGGGCTGACTTCCCACAGTAGAGAGTCCATCAATGTCACATTGTCCAGAGTTCTCTGGCAACCTATCCTTTCAGTCCCCAAGTTAGCTTGCCTTCTTCATGCGTTAAGGAGCTTAACGGAGGCTGGATTACCAATGGATTTTCTCATTCGTTCCAGGAAGTACCAGTGAGGGGTGAGTCTGAGAAAGCAAAAGGCCAAACCCTTGCGAAGACCCAGCAAAAGGAAGAAGGAAAAAGAGCAAGAAGGTAAATCAGCTGATTGGATAGGGAACAAGCTCTTCCCTTCTCCTCTGGGTCTGTGTGGAAATGGGAGGTGAGCCAATGAATGTTTTATTTCAATATATTGAGTGACTGTTTCAGATGAGCCAATAAAGGAGAGGCTTTCAACCTGTGGTCGTCACAGGAGGTCCGCAAAGACTTGAAGAAATGTTTTGATTTAAATCTTGAGTTGAGTCTTGGGGGGGTCCATGGCCATGGTGCGTAGCCACAAAGGTATTTGAAGGGGGTCCATGGCAAATAAAAAAGGTTGAGAACCACGGCAACAGAGGAAATCTAACTTTCTTTCAGAATTTCAGTTATTTTTAGAAAATTTACTTTTGTTTTAAGAACTTAGGATAGAGACTCACTGTTGGCCTTGGGCTCACTATAAATCCACAGTATGAGCCCTGTTCACTCAAGTGACTGATTTTATTGATTTATCTGTCCAGTAATCAAATATGTACAGTATGTTTGACGTGCCGATTTTCTGAATTTAGATGTATCTCCTTGTATGTTATCGACAGATACTAAGGGCAAGGAGATGATAGTAATAATATAGCTAATCCTCGACCTATAAACATAACTGAGCCCAACATTTATGTCGCTAAGGGAAACACTTGTTAAGTGAACTTTGTCTCTTCTTACGAACTTTCTTACTACAGTTGTTAAGTGAATCACTGCAGTTGTTAAGTTAGCAACACGGTTGTTACTTGAATCTTAACTTCCCCATTGACTTTATTTGTCAAAAGGTCTCAAAATGGGATCACATGACCCCGGACACTGTGACCATCATAAATAGGAACCGGTTGCCAATCATCTGAATTTTGATCACGTGATCTTGGGGATGCTGAAACGGTTGTAAGCATGAAAATGAGTCCCAATTCACTTTTCTCAGTGATGTTGCAACTTCGAACAGTCACTAAATGAACTGTTGTAAATCGAGGACTATCTGTACACCCTTTTGCAGTTTTTGAACTTAATTTTTGCCTAGCTTTCTGCTACCAAAACTTACCTGTCCCACAGTCAGGAAAGCACCTGTTCACCATCACCCCAGCCAAATACAGATAGTCCTCCAGTTCATTTAGTGACCGTTCAAGGTTACAACAGCACTGAAAAAAGTGACTTATGACCGTTTTTCAAACTTACGACCATTGCAGCATCCCCGTGGTCACATGACCAAAATTCAGATGCTTGGAAACTGGTTCCTATTTATGACGGTCACAGTCATGTGATCCCATTTTGAGACCTTCTGACAAACAAAGTCAATGGAGAAGTTAAGATTCAAGTAACAACAGTGTTGCGAACTTAACAACTGCAGCGACACACCTAACAACTGTGGCAAAGTAGGTCGTTAAATGGAACAAAACTCACTTAGCAACGGACATTTTGGGCTCAGTTGTGGTTGTAAGTACCTGTGCAAAATGTGCTTTTGCCTGTCTCAGTTATACAGCGCTCTCTATAATAAAGAATAGACTAGACTAAAAATTGTCCCTTTAAATGTATACTAATCAGCAGACTTTAAAAGGAAATTTCATTGCATTCAGCACTCAAAGGGTAACCACCTCCAATGTACCCTACATAAACATGACAAAAAATTATGCATATGCCTCCCCACACACAAATATAATACAGAGGAATAACACAGTCTAATCAGGTCCATCTGTGAGACTGTGCAAAAAAGCAGATGTGGTTGTATTGGGCAACATTGTAGATTCATTTTCAGTTGCATTTCCACAGATTCTGTTCAATTGCAACCCAACAATCTTTCAGTAGGCAGAAAGCTGAGCCAGCCAATCTGTGCTCTGTTGATGGGAAAGTCCTACGGACAATATGGCTGACAAGTGATGCTGTCCTTACGGTTCCATTGTGGGAGGAGTTAAGGAAGGTGATTGGTGGATTTCCCTGGTTCTGTTTTCTTTGTCTCTCCCCTAGTGGTGGGAAAAAGAACTGCAGGCAGTCCTCGTTCAGCAACCGTTCAGTGAAAGAGTCAGTTCAAAGTTCACAATGATGGTACTGTGTGAGTGGGCTTATGACCGTTCCTCATAGTTGTGGCTAGTGCAGCATCCCCCAGTTTTGTCATCATGATTTGTGCCTTTGGCAACTGGCTCACTGTTACAATATTGTGATTTGTGTAACTGTGAGAGGAACCTCGGAGTCCTAGTGGACGAACACTTAAACATAAGCCTGAAGTATGAGGCAGCAGCCCAAAAAGCTAATACAATCTTTGCTTGTATAAACAGAGGCATAAAATCAAAATTACGTGAACTATTAGTATTGCTTTATAAAGCCTTAGCAAGGCCACACCTGGAATACCGCATCCAATTTTGGTCACCACGTTACAAAAAAGATGTTGAGGCTTTGGGGAAAAGTGCAAAGAAGAGCAACTAAGATGATTAAGGGCCTGGAGACTAAAACATGGGAAAAAAATGGTTGCAGGAATTTGGTATGGCCAGTCTAGAGAAAAGAAGGACTAGAGATGACATGATAGCAGTATTCCAGTATTTGAAGGGCTACCACAAAGAAGAGGGGATCGATGTATTTCCCAAAGCACCAGGGAGCAGGAGAAGAAACAGTGGATGGAAACTAATCAAGGAGAGAAGCAGCCTAAAATTAAGGAGAAACTTTCCAACAGTGAGGACAATTAACCAGTGGAACAGCTTGCCTCCAGAAGTTGTAGGTGCTTCATCACTGGAAATTTTTAAGAAGAGACTGGACAGACACTTGTCTGAAATGGTATTAAGTTCTCCTGCTTGAGCAGGGGTTGGACTAGAGGACCTCCTACGTCCCTTCTAGCTCTATTCTGATTGATTGACCATAATGCAGCATCCTGCAGTCATATTATTGCCATTTGCCATTTACTGCTGGCTTCTGAGAAGCAACATCAATAAAGAAACCAGTAGGTTTCATGGACAGAGAGGAAGTAGTACCAGTAGAGTAATAGTAATAGCAATAGTAGTCTCTCTCACTTTCACACTGTACCTATTTCCCAATAACATTATTTTAGCATTAAAGCATGGGAATTGTCTTTAAAATGAATGAGACCATGGTTCCGTCTAGAATAGCTGGAAGGGACCTTGGAGGTCTTCTAGTCCAGCCTCCTGTTCAAGCAGGAGAACCTATACCATTTCAGACAGGTGAATGTCCAGTCTCTTCTTAAAAATTTCCAGTGATGGAGCACCCACGATTTCTGGAGACAAACTGTTCCACTGGTTGATTGTCCTCACTGTCAGGAAGTTTCTCCTTAATTCCAGGTTGCTTTTCTCCTTGGTCAGTTTCCAACCATTGTTTCTCGTCCTGCCCTCTGGTGCTTTGGTAAACAACGTGACCCCTTCTTCCTTGTGGCAGCCCCTCAGATACTGGATCACTGCTATCACGTCTCCCCTATTTCTTCTTTTCTTTAGACTAGCCAAACCCAAGTCCTCTATGTTTTATGTCTAGTTCTCTATGTTTTTTTTCCTGGACACCCCAAAGCCTTGCCTTCAGCAAATAGACACTTGCGGTGCCTATTTGCTTATGGATGTCTCCCTTCTGCCAAATCAAATTATTTTTTTTTCTTTTTTTATTTTTCTTTTCTAAATTTTTTTTATTTTTAACCAACAAGACAAAACAAAACAAAGCAAAACATAACGCACATACAGACACAGTATATACTCCCCCCCCTTTTTTTACAGCGATTACATAACGGTAATCTTCTATTATTAACATTTCCCCCCTTATTCTTCTTTATTGCCCCGTTGTTTCTTATTTACATTTTTCTTCCTTCGTATTTTACTTCTTACTAAGAATAATTCATATTATTATTATTATACATTATTATACACATATTTTCATTTTTGACCTTTCCATATTTTTTCTCCTCTATTATTTCTAGTCTCCAACCAGTCATTCCACTTGTTCGATGTTATATAGTACTCTGTGCCAAATCGAATTATATGGGACTTCAGCTGCTTCAATAACAAAGTCTAAAGTTCTTGGGAGAAGCAGGAGACAACAGAGTCACTCTGCTAATTTTTCAAAAAGCCCACGAGTGATGCAAATTTCCTTGAGCCAAGCAGGAACTTTTCTCCCAAATGCAAATCTTTTTAGTTAACTTACCATTTATAATACAACAGTTAACTGTTCTATTCTCTTTACCACTTTTTCCGGATGGAAAGTGATGCAAAACTGAAAAGCATCTGGTTCTATCCTAGATTTGCCCTGTAAAAAAGGATCACTTTTAAGAGTTTACAAATGTGGAAAAAAAAAAAAAATCCAAGCAATGTTTGGTAGTCCTTGAGTTACAACAGTTCATTTAGTGACCGTTCAAAGTTACAACCGTACTGAAAAAAGTGACTTATGACCATTTTTCACGGTTACGACCTTTGCAGCATCCCCATGATCATGTGATCAAAATTCAGATGCTTGGCAATTGGTTCATACTTACGACCGTTGGTATGTCCCAAGGTCATGTGATCCCATTTTGTGACCTTCTCACAAGCAAAGTCAATGGGGAAGCCCGATTCACTTAACGAGCAGGTTACTAACTTCTCAACTGCAGTGATTCACTTCACAACTGTGGCAAGAAAGGTCATAAAGTGGGGCAAAAATCACCTAATAAATGTCTCACTTAACAACAGAAAATTTGGGCTCAATTGTGGATGTAGGTTGAGGTCTACCTATAAAGCAAGCTACATAGGAAGAGTGGGCAATTTTTTATGTAGGTTGAGGTCTACCTGTAAAGCAAGCTACATAGGAAGAGTGGGCAATTTTTTTTTGTGGCTCAGTGCTGCATATTGTGAAGAAATTCAGGTTCAGAGAAATAATATATTTATTCTATCGATGTGGACAACCATAATTTTCAGCCCAATTTTTCCCATTTGAACCCCAGTCCAATGAGATTTGAAAAGCATATTCTAGAATAGTGGTTCTTAACCTGGGCCCCCCAGGGGGTGATTTTGTTTTTTAGGGGGGCGAAGGAATGAAAAGGGGGCGATATGGGGGCGATGCAGCGAGAAGTTTGGGGGACACTTTTGAGACTTTTTCGTACAGTGAATCGCTGTATATCTGTCGTACAAA